TTTGGAGCAACTCGAGTACCCATTTGGTGATTCGTCGATGTTCATCCAGATTTTCTGTGAAGATTAGTATGTCGTCCAGATAAACTACCACATGTCCCTCGTTGATCAGTTCCCGGAGTATGTCGTTCATCATGTTTTGGAACGTTGCCGGAGAATTCGTGAGACCAAAGAACATAACTAAGGGTTCGTACAGCCCTCGGTTCGTGCGGAATGCAGCCTTCCACTCGTCGCCCTCTTTGATCCGTACGTTGTTGTATCCCCACCGGATGTCTAGCTTGGTGAAGACCTTGGCGCCGCACAGGTTGTGGACCAGTTCGGAAATCAGCGGTAGCGGGTACCGATTTCGGATCGTCATCTCATTCAGCTTCCGGTAATCTTGAACAGGCCGTAGCGAGCCATCCTTCTTTTTGACAAAGAAGAATGCCGATGCCATGGGTGATTTTGATGGCCTAATTCGTCCGCTGGCTAGGTTCTCTTGTAAGAACTCGTCGAGTTTGACCTGCTCGTTTCTCGATAAGGGGTACACCTTGCAGTCCACTGCTTTGGAGCCTGGTTTGAGCTCGATCGCATGATCCCATGCCCGTCGGTCCGGTAGCGAGTCGAATGATTCCTTGGCGAATACTTTGACGAATTCTCGGTATTGATCTGGAATCTTTCCCTCGGTCATTCTCTCCTTCTCCTTTTCCGCTTCTTCTGCGAATTTCTGCGCCGGCGTTTCCTTCAGCCGTAGGTCTACCTCCTTTCCAAAGTCGATCAACAAGATCGATTCTCCCTCTTCCAGATCCGGTGCACCCGCGTCCAGGTCAATTGCATCCATGTCGATCATTGCTTGGTGCTCCTCGTGACCCCTCATTTGACATTGCTCTGGGCATCGGCTGAATCTCATTGTCTGCTCCTGCCAATCCACCTCGGGGTTGTGTTCCGTCAGCCAATCCAGGCCGATGAAGATCCGGGCTTTTCCCAGACACGTCAGAAGGAACGTGCGTGTCTCCACATGAGGACCGATTCTCATTCTCAAGTCGACGTAGTGCGTGATCCGACCGCTGATGTTCTCGGTGTTATCGGCGTTACGAGCCACAATGGGTTGCGGAAGCTCTTGGATATCCAGCTTTTCTGCCCGTGCGTAGTCGGTGTCGATGCAGCAGGTACTGCAGCCACTATCGAGCAGCGCCTTGACTCCACGCGTTTTCCCTGAGTCCAGGCCCGTGATCTGGACATATACGTCCATCGAATGCCTCTTTCTTTCGGCTTGGTAACTGCGCAATTCCTGCGCCAATCTGCTGGGCTGGGGGCCCTTCTGTTTCTCGGTCGCCAATTTCCTCTGGATGGCATCTGGCACCCTGGTGCGTTTGGGTGCTTCTGGAACCTCGATTTTGGCAGATTCCTTGGGCGCTTCCTCCTTTTTCAAGGATCGAGCCTTCGGAGCGATGCTCCCCTTTTCGGTCTTTGTTGACGTGGTTCCTTCTCCACGAGCCATAAATACGTAGGAGTCCAAAAATAATTTATCTGCAGCTTTCTGATCCTTTTTATCTTGTAAGTATTTTCTATTTAGAGCTATCTTTTCCTGGCGTTCTTTTTCCATCTCGGCAGTAAGAAAATCGTGAATATTTGTACGTAGTGAGTCTGAGATCGTGTATGTAGATGAAATATTGTCTGTATCTTTAATCGAAACAAGTACAGAAAATCGTCCATAGTCCGGACGCTCCACCTCCTTGGCTAGAGGAGTGGAGCGCTTCAAAAACCCTTCTCGCGCAGCTTCTTGGCAATCTCCTTCAGGAACTCGTTGTCCTTGTCCCCGTTCTCGATTTCTTCCAGCATTGTGGCCCGATTGAAGAACGTGCGCTTCTTCTTGGGCTCCGGGCAGTTCCGCGCAATGTGCCCAGGCTGCTGACAGTTGTAGCAGATGATATTGCGGCCGCGGGCGTGGGTACGATCGATTTCCATCGGAACCGGTTCGTTGGCGGCGGGTCGGGCCGGAGCGGGTGTGGGCGCCACTGGTGCCGTTTGGGGACGGAACTGGGGAGGTGGTCGTTGTGTGGGGTGCCCATACGACGCTTTGCGTAGCTGGTCACGCAGAGCATTGGCTTCGATGTTGATGCACCAGGCTTTGAACGCTCCATAGGCCTTGGGCAGAGGGACACCGGTGTTGTAGAGACGACTGGCGATCTCGCTGCTGAGTCCGCGCTCCAGGAACTCGATGAGGATATTATCCTGGTCCCCCTTCTTGTATTCGCCTTTGTCGTCGGTGGTGGAAGTGAATTCGAAGACTGGAGAATACAACCAGGTAGCTACAGTATTTATACCCAAATCCAGTCTGAGTCATATCTACAACTAATGAGTCATAGGGCTATGTACCGCATGGAACGCTGGTCATGGGTCGTAGTAGAACCTTCTGGAGCATATGTCGCGCAGCCTCTAATCGATGAAGATAATCCCTGAAACCCCTAGTCCGGACCGTCTGATGCCGTGATCCGTGATAAGATAAGTTGTGCCAGGATAAGATAAGATCGTCGATGATAAGATGAAAAAGTGGCCGAACTATGACATGATTTCCGGATTTCATACTTCTTGTCTACACACCATTTGGGCCCTTTACTGAATCCAATAATACTGTAGACTCTTACAATGGATTGAGCAGGACATTTGTCAATTAAATCCTTGCAGGGGTTGGGGGGGGGGTCAACCACAGGGGGTGCCGCGGGGGGTGCCACGGGGGGTGCCGTGGGGGTGCACAAGCATCTGCCAGCCTACCAAATGTGGATCAACTACAAAATCACTTTCCAAAGCTTCTGTACTGCAACCCAAGTGACTTCTAGGTAACCTTTACCCAATCCCAGTGAAACAACTTCACTGCTCTTGTTTCTGGGTGACAATTGATTTTATGAGCTTGAGTGTGTATGCACCCTTTTTAGTAGGAAATGAGGCCATGTGATGAGAGGTAGGGCACCGAAACATTGTAAAATACTATATTCAACATGACCGGTGGCCCATGTCTCTTCAAACCAGCCCATATCTCATGTTTATCAAGACCCTATTTTTCGGACTCATTTCAAGTTTTTGAATAGTTCCAGGGTCCAGGGCTCTCAGAATTTGTTTCAGGCACTGCCAAAGAGTATATCATTCAGCTGTATTGAATTGCTTGTGTGTAGAAAAAATATTTTGGCCATACCCAAAGTGAACCATGTTGAACCATTGTCTACATAGGAACCTTGAGCAATGGTGAACTCTTTTCATGTTTTGAATTTTAGGTGGACAAATGATATGAAGTATCTACATATTCAATAAGAATAGCAGAAGGAGACCTTATTCCGATGGTTTTCAGCTGCATAACTGTAGGAACAGTGTTAGAAGAGCAGTAAACACTTAGGTACGACGTTTATACAGGTTCTGATTGGCTAGTGACTTGACGTGTTCCGAGCTGTCAGTTTACATAATCTTACATATAAGAAAATCACGGGGACAAGGCACCGGTGCAGCGGGGGGTGCTAGACTGGCGGGGGTGCCAGCGGGGGTGCCAGCGGGGGTGCCAACAGGGGTGCCGGCGGGGGTGCCAATGGGGGTACCAGCAGGGGTGCAGGCAGTGGGTCATGGCAAGGATGTGTGCAGCCCCAGAGGTAGTAAAAGTAACCATCTATGTCTCTACAGTCTATCTTGCAAATATACGAGCTCTGAGTGCACAGAGTGTTGTATATGAAATTTGAAATTCAAATATTACCAATCTCTGACTATTGTGAGGCAACTCGCTGGTGAATCCATTGTCTCATATTCCACCTAGGAATCAATTCAGGGCATGTCAAATCCACTCTATTACATCTGTTCATGTTGCAACTAAAGCAAACTGCTTGTAAAGTAACACAGAACAGATGAACTTCAATGAGTCCCAGACAGGAAGTGTGACATTAGGTGCATAATTAACGTGTGGTATTATCCACTGGGTAAGATTAGACTGTGCCTACAGCATGATCAGCTTACCAATGGGCATGTGTATAGAATGAGCAGACGAAACAATCAATGAGTTGACAGTGGACCCGATGCAGCCCATGATGTCAGCCCACCTACCCTGCCAGCCAAAAAATGAACAAATCACACTTTCTTTTTAACCCTACATGCCTGGATTATGCAGACAATATTGCACAGTTTTGATATCCCAGCCCCTGCCGAAGCATCAGGGAGTCACATGGCTGTAGCTGCAGACCAACCCCAGACACAGCCTCCAAACTCCTGGCAAAATGAAGGATAATTATGCTGCATGCTATGACCACAGCGAGAATAGATAGATCAAAATATGATGCAATGCACCCCTACCCCTGCTCCTGTGGTTGACCCCACAGCGGGCCCTGCGGCACCCCCTGCGGCACCCCTTGTGGCACCCCCTGCGGCACCCCCCGCAGCACCCCCCGCAGCACCCCCCGTGGCACCCCCCGCAGCAGACCCCGCCAAATGATGGGATCAAGTGCATCACCAGTCCCATTGTGCAGGGTGCATTTTGGGCTTTCTAAGCTCAAATTCATGCTTAACTAGTGTATTTACCGATAGAAATGATACCAGGATGATTTGGGGAAGGCTTCCATTTTTTTGGGCGGAAAATCACGTGATTATGCGCCCATTGTCTGCCACAGCATGCAATGGATCAAGCAACACCTCCGAAATCATGCCGAATGGTGCACAAAAGGTGCCCCAAAAGTCACGTGATAATGCGCCCACTGCCCGCCATGGTGTGCGGGGGGCCAGTAGCGCCCCCGCCAACCCCCGCCAACCCCTGCTAGCCATTTTTGATAATTTTCATGCGGTGCATCACGTGATTTTTTTACCCCGCCATCAGCCGCCATCCCGCCCATTGGATGTGTCATGTGATTCATTTTTTTTTTTCGCACCCACCTGCCCGCTCCCAATGATAAATCACATGACATGTACAGACCCCCCCCTGCTGACCCCCGCATATGCCCCCGCCCCCAAATGGACCAAATCCCCCCCGCGGGGGTGCAACCGGGTGATGGCGGTGGTAACTGAGGTGGATTCGAAGATGGTTCTCGCTGAGGTTGATGTGCCCCCAAGGTCAACGTGCGAAATTGTAACCCGACGACTATATGGGAAAACACACCTAGAGACGAAGCTTTCAGAGAATGAGAGGGTCAGAGGCTCACTCTGAAGGAGAGGGACACTGCACCAAGAGAAAGACCCGCCGTCAAACCAATCAGCAATCCCTTTCCCGCGGATCTGTCAACTATTCACAGTTTAAAAACGGTCTGGGAACGACGTGGTTTGGGGAGCTAGACTTGCCCTTGACGATATAGTGAGCGTAAAACCTGCCCAAAGTCCGATTGTTCATAGCGGTCACAAGATGACGCAAAGGGGAGCACCCACATTTGAGCCAGCGCAGCGACGAGCGTCTGTCGGCACGAGTCAGCCACCGGAAAGACCCGTAAGACAATTGGAGCGGACCGAGAGTTGCACGAAACACTGTGCGGGGTCAGAGCTCTTGAGGAACAGTGAATGTACATGCTTTGAGACATACGAGAAAGTTAGCATCGACGGAGCTGATCAACGACAGGAGTGGAATGGTTCCGGGATACACGCTAGGAGCAGATGGGGTTCGATCAGCGACGCGGATCCGATATGATGCCCAGCCAATTCACGTATCGAAAACTGTCCTTCTGTGTTACGTGAGGCCCGAAATAGGCTGTCAGAACTCACGACAAAGCAGCGCAGCACTGTCCACCGCACTGGGAGCGTTCACGTCGAGTGTGAGACGAACCGGACCATTTACATAGTAGCAGAGCGTACAAAGTGACCAAGATCTGCACGCATCCAAGTCAGGAGCGCAGATTCAATGCCAAGAAGTTGACAGCGCACGAATATCTCTGCTTTGAGATCCCTCTGACCCATCCGCACATGGTGCACGCGGATGGCCACCTCTTTCGCTTAATTCTCAGTGGTCTTCGAGCAGAGAAATATAGACACACGCACGGTAGACGCCAGGGAAGTAGGCTGCGACGGATAGCATATACCTGGAAGCCAGACGCGAGGGTTAGTCTGGGCGATAAGGAGCTCGATGTCCACTCACATGGTCCACAGGGTCACGAATGCGCCCTGCGCCTGTTCGACGAGCGGTCTGACTGGAGTCATAGAGGTAGAAAGCCCTTTGTCGAGTGAATAAAAGAAGGAGGTGTACGAGATAAAGGTAAGGAGCGCACAGCCCAGACGTAGTAGAATACAAATAGGAACGCCCAGCAGGATTCTCCCATTCTCCCGCATGCCGCAATCCCGCACTGCGTGCGCTCAGCTACTCGCATCACCCATCTCAGCCACGCTGATAGAGGGCTGGATGCACTCCCGCTCAGTCCCTGCCACCCAGGAGATGGGTTCCGGTGAGTCATCACAAAAGTACGTACTCGCACTGGTTTCATATGTACGCAAGACTCTCATGCTTCCTGCACGTGACCCTTGGAAGTGCTTCCTGCGTTGCTTCCGTCAAATGACGGGATCCACATCCCCAGATTGTACCTGAGAAGTGATGTTGATTTTTTTCCCCTCTGTGGTGAAACAACGCAGGAGGCATAGTCGGGGCATAGCTCAATTTGTCTTTACAGCCAAGGACAAATGTTTGATGGCCGGATGATTGAAGTCATCTGCACAGGATCCTTGCCGGCCGGAGTTTTCCTGATTTCGGAGCCTGCTGCAGTCTGAGATGACATCTTTTGCTCTGCCTTTTGTGGGTGATCTCAGACACCGCATCAACCCAATGGGAAAATGTATGATTTCTCTCTACTTATATTGAACCTGAAGTAACTCGCTTCCAAATGAGGGGGGATATGTGCACATCACTTCTTTCGTCAAGCCCTAGGCCAGTCCCAAGTGCACCGTTCGACAACAACAGAGAGGGGCATGATGAGTTGATCCACTATGCAAGCTGGCAGAACCAATGGGTTTACATACCGATTCAAAATGAAACAGAAATCCTTATAGGATTTGGAAACTAGATGCTGACACATTTGCTCTATATCTGAAGAGGGTTAAATGGCTCGGGCCGGAGATAGGCTGAACGGCCGGCGCTGGAAGCGCCTTTTGGGGATATCGGAACAGACCAATAGAATTGTTCTCCATCAGCGCAGAGGGTCGAGACTGATCGAGACTGGTGTGCGACATATCTGTGACAGGAGAAGAAGCATCACGTGTTTCTGTCACACGGCTACTCCAATTTCCAGCTGATTGAAAAACGTTAGACAGTGCACGATTATTTCGATGTGATCGCGGAAAATCCCGTAGCACAGCATTGTCATGTCCTCGCGCGGTCTGTCCGCCTCCTGCATTTCGGCTGCGACTAGGATCTGCAAACGCAGCATCTTTCGAGCTCGGTCCAATGCACGGAACGGTGGAATTCCAGGGTTGTCCGTCCCTTCCAGCTAAAAACAGATGTCGCGTGGAGTGCGGTGGAGCGAAAAGTACTGAATGAGGAAATATGCTGTGCTACGGGATTTTCCGCGATCACATCGAAATAATCGTGCACTGTCTAACGTTTTTCAATCAGCTGTCATTGCCGAATTATTGAGGCAGATCATCTTGTGACCGTCACGCCATCTACGTTTTGAATGCTGGCCAGAAGAGGAGCAGGGCCCCCGACATCTTATTTTCTCCCTACCAGCCCCAACTATACCCAGGAAAGCCGCGTTGATTTTGGGTCATTCAACAAGGGTTCGCAACGTGCCCATGACACGTTTTGCTGCATTCCCGCTTCACGATCCGATCACACACGCTGCCGGATCATGCTCCGCGCGATGCCTGACTTTGCCGGTGACCACTACACTTCTTCGCGAGCACAGCGCCCATGCGGCGGTCCAAAAAATGAATCAGACGCCGGGCATCGCACCCTCGCCCATTCACCTAGAGCTGTGCCGATTCGAGCTCGAGATCTGCTCATCCTTAGCGGGACGGTGAGTACTAGTTATCATCGACTGGAGTGCGTCCTGCATACAATTGCGCCTCAGGTGACCGCTTCGTGTGAAATTACGACGAAGGTCGGGGTCATGTGGGGTGTGTGTGTGGGGGTAGAGTGTGTGGGGTTGATAGCGATTGCGATATCCGCAACATCGGACCGGATAGGGATGGGGGTGTAGGTTGAATGCTGGCTGTCAAGTGCGAGGCGTCGGGCAGAGGGCCTCGGAGGACGTGCGAAGTCAGTTCTTGCATGCCATTATCCTGTCGCCGGTCAGCATTTCCGCCGGCTCGCGCCCCTCATCCCCCGGGTTCATTTGCAAAAAAGCACGAAGCCTGGCTGTGACGGGACCGACTGACATGGGAGATTGATTTGGCCAGCTTCTTCTCTTTCTCCTCTCTTCTCTCAGCTGGTCTCCGGGCTGCCGTAATGTCGGTCCGGTGCCCATAATATGCCGCATTTAAGCAATGCACGAGGTGTTAGGTCGGAAGAACACTCCAGCGTTCCCACTCCCACTCTCCGTCGTCTTTTCTCTTCTCTTGCGCTCTCCAACTCTTGCCACGATGATGACTCCGACGTCCGAGAATGAAAAACCTGCCCCGACGAAGGCGAGGCGGTTCCAGGCGCACTCGCTCAAGGTCGGGAACCGACTCACGAATGCGTCGAATTTGACGCTCAGGGAGACGCTTTGGCCGCTCTTCCTGGTTACGATTCTGTACTTCCTCTGGGTGCGTGCCATTCACGGTGTAATTTTCTTTCACCTCCTGAACATTTCATCACCACAGGGATTCGCGTACGGCCTGCTCGACACCCTCAACAAGCACTTCCAGAACACCCTCAACATCACCCGCACGCGCTCATCAGGTCTCCAAGCGGCCTACTTCGGTGCCTACCCGCTCGCGTCGCTGGGCTACGGCAACTGGGTCCTGCGCAACTACGGCTACCGTGCCGTCTTCATCCTCGGACTGGTGCTCGAGGGTATCGGTGCGCTCCTGATGTGGCCCGCGGCGCTCAAGCGCAGTTTCGGTGGATTTTGTGGAGCGACGTTTATCATTGGGAGTGGGCTCGGGTGTCTGGAGACTGCGGCAAACCCGTACATGGCTGGTGCGTAAATCACCTTGGTATCTTTCTGTCCGGAGGAAAAACAATCTGACTTGGTATCGTCAGTGACTGGACCACCTAAATACGCCGAAATCCGAATCAACATCGCCCAGGCCGTACAGGCCATCGGAACAGTCATCGGCCCCGTGCTGGGATCATATGTATTCTTCAAGCAGACGGGTGATTCGGTCAACTCGCTCAAGACGGTGCAGTGGGTGTACCTCGCGATTGCGATCTTCGTGTTCTTCCTCGCGGTCGTGTTCTTCTTCTCGGTTATTCCCGAAGTCACAGGTCGGTTAGCTTGGCGCGTCCCGGCTACACGCGTTGACATTTTTCTTTCTTTTCTGTTTGATAGACACGGACATGGCGGAACAAGCGGGGAGAACCCACGCAGGCGAAGACGCGGGCGATAAACCATTCCGGAAGCAGTACAAGGTATTCTTCGCTGGATTCGCTCAATTCTGCTACACTGGCGCGCAAGGTGTGTTCTAGGCGACTCACATTGGCTCTCTTCAAATCTCACACACAAACCGCACAGTCGCCATCGCGTCCTACTTCATCAACTACATCACGGAAACACGCGCCAACACGACCAACCAGCTCGCCGCCTCCTTCCTCGCTGGTGCACAGGGCTGCTTCGCGGCGGGCCGGTTCTCCGGTTCGGCTCTTATGACGCGCATCAAGCCGCGCAAGGTGTTCCTCGCGTACATCTCGCTCGTGATTGCGTTTGCGGCGGCGTCGGTGGCGCAGACGGGGAACAAGGGCCTCGCGATGCTGATGCTGTGTCTATTCTTCGAGAGCGTTTGTTTCCCGACCATCGTAGCGCTGGGAATTCGGGGTCTCGGACGACACACGAAGCGCGGGAGTGGATGGATCATTGCTGGGGTTGTCGGCGGCGCGTGTGGTGCGTGCCTCTAGTTGATGCTTCTCGGCGGATGTTGATTCCGCGTTCTTCAGTGCCCCCGCTCACAGCAAAGGTTGCTGACCTGCACAACTCCACTGCGATTGGATTCGTGGTTCCTGTCGCTTTCCACGTCGTGGCATGGGTCTACGCGCTCTGCTGCAACTTCGTTCCAATGTTCCGCGACCCCATGGATAAGGTTGGGAACGAGCACAGCGTTGAGGTCATCGCTGCGGCAGAGGGTCAAGAGGATCTACGGGAGGACTCGATTGAGGAGAAGGTTTGAAAATTTGGCCTATGTAATATCACGGAGATGTAATTTTATGCATACGAACGTAAATGATTCACGACTTACGATTTGACGTTCTCGTTGGTTGAGTGTTTGCGCATCTCCATTATTAACACCTTTCGGTGAAAACGGCAGTGGTAGATGAACTTGGGGCATACAGCTTCTCAGGGTGCTGATGAATCCGAGATCACACTAGCCAGGAAAGCAGTCTCAACGGCTCGCTCATCGGGATGACAGAACTGCACATGCGACAGACGTTACAGATTCTCGGCCCTGTTACAGGACCGACCGAACAGAATGTGAAGCCTTCTGCGAGCGGAACTGCAATTCCAATGCTTCAACTAAGCGGCTACAAGTGCCTGTAGGGTTCGGCCACCCACCTGCGCAGGGCCACGTGATCACGTCTTTTTGTTTTTGTTTGAATCCGCATTTCAATTTGTATTCCGCAACAAGTAAACACGATCACGTCGTCAGAGTTCCTCAGTACATCATTCTGCACAAGAGGCGAAAGGCTAGAGTGCCTCCTCCTCGAGTTATCCTTCCTTTCAACCCCAAGGATCGGTTCTACCCCGAACATCGGGAACTGGACCACCTAATTCAGCAGTGAAACGAATCAGGCACCATCACGTCAGTGGGTTAGGGCGCTGATGTGTCTCTGCACTTTGATCGTCTCCCGCGCATCGCCTCACATCGCGAAGCAGGTCAGAGCTGACGGTCGTGGAAGAAAAAGTGAAGGGTGCGGCGCTAACAGTGTCCAGTCTGCTTTCTTCTCTACTCTATCTCCGGCCATGCTTTCCCTTGGTATGGTGGTCGAATGAATTGAGGGCTGGCTGTTACTCACCCGCAGCGCATCTCTCAGCTTCGCTATCGGTGCTTCTATGCACGCTCCCACTCCTTTGTGCGTGCAACCCGGAGACTCGCGACGTGGACGTCCTGACGCTTTAGCAGACGCACACCCTCACGTCCTAAAACGCGACCTCGCATCGAGCGGCCTGACAGGCGCATCGTGGATCTGGCTCCCCTCCTCGACCCCATCGTCCTTCACGAGCAACGCCCCCGTCGGCTCCGCGTACTTCGTCAAACCGCTCACCACGCCACCCGGCAAGACGGCCGCGTCCGCGCTCATCACGCTCACGGCCGACAACAACTTCACGCTGTGGGTGAACGGGCAGCCCGTCGGCGCGTCGGACGGGAGCAAGCCCGATAGCGCGTGGCAGACGGCGCTGCAGTTCAGCGCCGCGCTCAACGCGTCCGCCAACGTCGTCGCGGTGATGGCGTACAACGCGCCAGACCCGGCGAACCCGCAGGCGAACCCCGCAGGAGTTGTCGGCGCGGTACAGGTGCGGTACACCGACGGCACGGCGGATGTGATTGGGACGGACAGCACATGGCTGGCGATGCAGCCTGGGGCGCAGGCGTCGTACCCCCCGGGATTCCCGCCGTCTGGGGCGTCGTCGGCGACGCCGCTGGCGGGGTGGGCGCAGGCGGACCAGGCGGGGACGTACGCCAGCAACGTGAGTCCGTGGGGAAACCAAGTCTCGCTGGCGTCGCCTGCGACGTTCAGCGCGCAGAATCTGTCCGCGAGCGGCGTCTCGTGGATCTACAACAACGCGACGGCGGTGACAAATGCGCCGGTGGGCTTCGTAGGGTTCCGCAAGACGTTCAGCACGCCGGCGGGCAAGACGGCGGCGAGTGCGACGGTGGTGGCGACGGCGGACAACTCGTTCCGATTGTTTGTGAACGGGCAGTACGCCGGGGCCCCGCCGTTCGATGATAACGCTGCGGGCAGCGTGAACCAGTGGGTCTATGCGCAGCGATTCACTGCGATCCCGCTCGCTGCTTCGTCGAACAAATTCGATATCATCGCGCAGAATTTTGAGTCACAGCAGACGCCCGGTGCCGGGTCGTCCGCGGGGCTCATCGCTGCGATTTTGATCACATTCACCGACGGATCGAGTCAGGTGCTCGGCACTGACAGCACGTGGCTCGCATCCGACGCTCTGGCAGGCGATCCCTCGTCGTTCACGACCAGCAGCTCGACGCAGCTCAAGCCCGCGTCGGTGCTCGGAGCGTACGGCATATCGCCGTGGGGCCAGTTGTCGGGGACGTCCGATGTGCTCAACGTCGCGCTGTTGCCGGCAAATGCTGCCGCGGCCCCGGGGGCGTCGAGTGCCTCGGTCAGCAGTGCCAGCCCGGTTGGGGCGTCTGTCACACCGACCGGGCCATTTACCGTCACTCCCGCGCTGACGAGCAGTCTGCCGTCTTTTGTGGCGTCGCCCGGGCCGAAACCGACGAGCGCTGGTGTCTCTGGCGGGAGGATGGACTTGTTTAGTGTTCTACTTGGGTGTCTTTCGGTTGTTGTGCTGATGTAGGCTACGTGGAATGTAAAAATATCCGAGATTTTTACTATCTGCATAATTATTCATCCTCGGGAGTGTCATTGGAATACTTGCGATTAATCAGAGAAGGCAAAGCATCAGCCATCTCCAGATTGCAGCCGTGAAAGACGGAGGGAAACTTTCCTTCGACTATTCCCACGGTTCGCTAGTTTAGTGGTCATAACACTCGCTTCACAAGGGTGTCTCCTGGAGCTCAGACCGCGCGAGAGGTCCTCGGTTCGATCCCGAGGCGAATCAGGGCTGTGTATGCCTGTTGTTTTGCGCCGTAAGTCCCCATTGGCTGGCTGGCTGACTAGGCTATCAAGGTACGTGCAAAAACTCGAAGAGATAGGGGCAAACGACCCAAAAAGTCCCGTCGAAATCGAGACAGAACACGACGCGTTTGCACTCCCGGAATGGAATAGGCAAGTCCTCAAAATGCGCTGCTCCAACTTCTCTCTGGCGAAAGACGGATACCAGTGCAGGGATGATTGAGACCATCTTCCCAACTTCTTGAACTCTCATCTTACGCTGATCCCAGAAACGGAACAAAAATCGCGGGAGTGGCCGAGGCAGACTGAAATAGGAGGACTTGTGCATGTCAAATGATGGCCTCCCGCCTCGTATGTTTTCAGGATGACAGACGCCTGATCGCGTGCCTGGACCTGATTGAAAACGATTCTTGCTCTTGACTCCTTTGTGCAGTGCTCGCACCCCCACGCTCATTTTCATCGTCCTCGCCAAGAATGCTCGTCCCCGCGCTGCTGACTCTAAGCCTGAGCCTGGTCGGGCCGACCCGTGCTGACACGCTCTACCCGCTGATCGAGTATGCCGGCACGTCGTTCTTCGATGGATTTGACTTTTACGGGGCTTGGGACAATCTGACACACGGTGCGCGCGTCTCGCTGTCTCGTATATGCGTCGTAGCTGACATGCAAACCCGGGCACCCAGGCAACGTGACATACGTGACAGACACAGTGGCGCGCTCGAGCTCGCTGGTGTCCGTCGATGGCAGCGGGCGCGCGGTGATGCGCGTCGACAACACATCGACCGTGGCCGATGGCGGGACGCGCAACTCGGTCAGTGATCACTGATACCCATCCCATCCCCGCACGTTCTACTCACACCGGGCTCGCAGGTCCGTGTCACCTCGCGCGCGGTGTTCCCGATCGGCTCGGTGTTCGTCGCGGACATGGCGCACATGCCGACGGGCTGCTCCGTCTGGCCGAGCATCTGGCTGAACGGCATCCTCGCGCCCGGCGACGTGTGGCCCGACGCGGGCGAGATTGATTTGCTCGAGGGCATCAACAAGATGACGACGAACCAGTTCTCGCTCCACTCGCCCGCGGGCTGCAGTCAGAACCAGTCGATCACGCAGCTTGGCAGCCCGATTGCGAGCCAGAGTAACTGCAATACGACCAAGGGCTGCTCGGTCACGGGCCTGCCGGACAGCTTCGGCGCGCCGTTCAATAGTGCCGGGGGCGGCGTGTATGCGCTCCAGTTTGATGTGTCGGGGATCTATATGTGGACCTGGCCGGTGCGTGATTCTGTGCTTGTTTTGGCGGGCGGGTCGTCTGAGTCATCGGGGCAGCGGGCGTCGGTTCCGCAGTCGATCTCGCAAGCTACGAGCGGCGGGCCGTTAACAAAGGATGCTACTTGGGGCTCGGCAGTCGCTGCATATGTCGGTGGTGCAACGTGCAATATCGCAAAGAGCTTTGGCGCACAGCAACTGGTCATCAGTGAGTCCCAGCCGTCCACCATCCACCTCGTCTCAAACCAATCCCCCCAGACATCGCGCTCTGCGGCGACTGGTGAGACCAGTTCTATCCATCCGATGAACCTTGCTCAGTCCCTGATCCTCACAGGGCCGGCGAACCCGGCATCTACGCCTCCTCAGGCTGTCCCGCCGGCACGTGCTACGGCGCCAACGTCGTCGGCAATGGCTCCAACTACGGCGACGCGTACTTTGCGTTCAACTACATCCGCGTGTACAGCGAGTCCCCTGGCGCCAGTGTCGCAGGATCCAGCAGTGCGGGCCCGGGGTCCGGCCCGGGGTCCGGCTCGACGGGAAGCGGTCCGGCGAAGACGCAGAGCGCGGCGGTGAATGCGCCGACGACGGGCGCGCCTGCGCCAAGTGGGACGAGTCCCGCGGGCGAGCTGAGAGCTGGTATTGTGACAGTGGGGATTCTACTTTGTGTGTCCGTTCTGCTGGCTTTGTGAGATTAGTTCAGGGTTACTGTGGATGGCTCGATCCAATAAGAGGTGTTCTTTAATGTGTTATTAGGTTGTTATCTCTCGTCATTTATAGATTGTATACCCATCATCCCTATTCTGAGACCTATTCAAACCAGTTCCTTAAGACTGGATGTATTTGACGTGATTTGCGCTCTCAAGCATTCCTTAATTTTTCCAACATGCGCGCGGTACAATTTTCGTAGGTGGAAACGGTCTCTTTTACCCGCACAATTCACAACAAGGGTGGGGAATCAGGATGTGCAACTTAAGGTATAAATCCTATCTAGCCACCGCGATCCTCATTTTCGTCTGACCGATAGGATGGCGGGGGCTCAGAGAGGGCGGTACCAGCGGGCTCGGGTTCATGGCCGCGCTGCCCCTCAGAGCCGAGCATCCGCTCGCTCAATAGCCGGAGCAACTCGGAGGTTGGTATCTGCTCGGTATCGGGCCGTGCCGGTGCCGTTGATGTCGATGGCTCAGTTACCGCCTCTATACGTGGCTTTCTCACTACCACTCGGACATTACTCCATCGATTAACAGACGCAAGACAGCCACGCACCTGATTCGCTGCGCGGCACTGCTATGTGCACTGTGCCGAGGGGGGGCGGACCAAAGACCGAGATGCGCGAGGTATCTCGGTTGCGTACGGGAGGACTGGACGTGCTGCGGGCAGCGAGTCGCCGGCGGCGGCGGCAGAGAAGCAGCACGATTGACAGCGCGGCAAGGAGGAGGCTCAGACCCCCCACCACGCACCCGACGATCAGACCCGTTCTGGGGGCTGTAGAGTGTGGGCGGGACAGAGGAGCCGAGGACTGGATTGGCATTGATGGTGATTGCGTAGTTGGGGCGGGGACAGACGGGACTGAGCCCCCACTGGTGCTCGTCGGTGCGACCAGCGCGACCGGGATCGCGGTAATCTGCACGACGCCGGGATGTCGCAGTGCGAACCAGAACGTCTCAGGTCCCGACAGCGAACCATTGGTCTGTATGCCGTTGTGGATGCATTGCCCCATTGTGATGGGACCGAATAACCGGCACGATTCGAACAGCGAGTCGACGCTCTCTGACTCGTAGTATCCGCCAGCGGAGATGACGATTGTGTTTGTGATCGCTGCGTCGTGGGCCGTCAGACAGATCCCGACGGGCGGTGACGCGGTGACGCACTGGGGGTGACCGTCTCCTTCGAGGAGCCAGACATGAGGGTCGAGGCGGCAGTGAAGTCAAGAAGCTTGATGAGGTAGGTTGTCGCGCCGTCCCCCGCCGCCGTACCGATGGGCGTGAGTGGGCCCGCTAGCGGACGACCCATGGTGAGACCGTAGAAGCCATCGAATGGCCAGAAATCCATGGAAGTCAGCGAGGTTGACATGAAGTTATTTAGTCGAGAGATGGAATGAGTGGAGGATGATGAAGTGACGAGCCGCTCATACCCATGCCGCTGTGCTTTTATCCACGCCCTCATGCCACCCTCCCGTTCAACAAGCAGTGAGTGCTGACGGTTGAAATTTGGTGTCAAGGCAACAGATATCGCACCTGAAATCCAAGGGATACTTGGATCCCAACACATCATCCGTCAGAGTAAAACCTGCACCATTATAACTCTGGATCCGGGATGATGTGGGCGATAGATATGTGGAGATCAGATGGGCTCTTCGTGAAGCATCACCCCGAGTCGGAAGGTGGGTCTTCTCTCTCTCCAATCTAGGCAACTGGCTCATCCTCGACAATGATCCAGCGGATGTGGAAGCGAGGGACAAGGCCCGTCGAACCGGCACTGTTGCGTGAACACTGAGAGGAACCACCATGTTCATGAGCGGAAAGTTTCCACGTGACATGTCTGGTACGTCTCCAGCTGTTCCATTGGCCTGTTGTCCATCTATGTCCACATCTCTACGCTACATATGCCCATACATCTTTACTTCCTTCAACACGTTCGATGTACTCTTTCTCAAGCAGTGTCTCGATCGCCTTCTTGATATCAGGGATCTTTGGTGCGAAGCGGGTCGAGATCTGGGCGATGACTTCTTGGATCAGAGCCTGATTTTTGAGCGTCTTGCGGGCTTTCATGATCCTGTCATGATGTCAGCCGTGTGGATCCAAGGTACGAGGACACAGCACTGACCGCACAATCGTCGCCTGGATGACGTACTTGCGGTCTTCATCCACGGTCTTCATCACCTCGCTCGCCTCGCTCTGGGCACCAGCCTTGTCTGATGATGCGCGGATGACCTGGTTCAGGTTGATCCGGATCTTCTTCGACTTGAATCCGGGGTTCAGATCGTACTGCCCATCTTCTGCGTCCGGATCGTCGCATACCAGCACCCGTGCCTTGACGAGGATGTTGAGAACCTGCGATAGGATCCCCGGCCCCGTGATCCCCGTCGCGGCCTCGAGCTCCTTGAAGCTGAGCGTGTCAGTGCGGTTGTATTGCAACAAAACGGTCGCCTGGTACGTCGACGTCATCAGGATGTACTTCTGCCCCGTCGTGTAGTTCGTCCGCAACTCGTTCTTGGAGTAGTTGTACATCCACGTCAGTTTACGCCCCGAGTGCTTCGTCTGGTAATAGCGCGTGAAACGCTCGTAGGTGCCCAGCAGCTCCGGCGGAAGCAGCAGGTCTTGAGGTGGAGGAGTGAAGGGCCAGAAGTTGGTTCCAAGTACAAGCACAGAGAAGCCCGCGTCTTGCTCGTGGGCGGTGCTACGGTCTTTGAATGCGTCTGTCAAGTCCTTAGACAGTGACATATCTGGCGAGTGGTCAGCTGCGAATGGAGAAACGACTGGCACTCACCCGTAAACATCCTCTGCAGCTTGTTGGTGTACTCGAATCCACATGCCTCCTTCAACTTGGCGATCATCCCTGCCTCCGCCTCGTCCGATGCGCTGGCACCGTGGATCAACCTCTTGGAGAGTTTGGTGGAGTAGAAGGTCTGGAAGACGTCTTTATCCTCGAGGTATTTGAACAGAATCATCTGCGGGATGTGAGATGTTGTCGCGAGAGTGAACGGAGACTCACCACTCGCGCTAAGGCGCCCTCGACATCCTCCTCCTCAGCCTTGTTGCTCTTCCTCAGCAGGGAGTCCGTGTACTTGGCTAGCAGCTCGGGGCTCTTGGACGCGCTAGAGCCCGTTGCAGCATTACGGTTGACGAACTCCCGACACGCCTTGTCGAGAGCTGCAGCAAAGCCAGCCTCGGCTCGGAAACTCCTTTGCACGATGGCAGCATTACGTGTGTGCACACTTAGCAGAGCGTCCGTATACGCCTTGGGGTCGACCTCCTCTCCGTCCTTTCCAGCCACAAGCGTATCGACCGCCGCACATCCAGCACTCTTGACGTAAGCCTCGAATTTCTTGCGCAGTGGCTCAAGCCCGTCGGGAATGCGCGCCAGGAGCGCATACATTCGCTGCAGGTCGTCGTCCTTGTCGTCTGCGAGCAGCCCCAAGAACGCTTCCCAGAGCTTCGGCGCATGCGCGCGCAGCAGGACGCTCTCGCAGCGCGTAATGAGGTCTTTCCGGGTCTTCTCGTGCAGATATCTTGTCACCCGCTCGTCTTCCTCCCTTAGCCTCGTCTCTACGCGGACCAGATACTCCGGGACGCTGCCTGAGGCCAAGAACCTATTTGATTCGGCGGCGTAGTACGCCTCGGAGGCATCGATGAAGGCACCCTCGAACGCCCCGCGGTATACGTCAAGACACTCCGTATTCAGGTTCGCCGTGTCCAGCCCCAGACTGACGAAAGAGTTCACAACGCGCTTAAGCAGCGCCTCTGACCCGTCGACCTCTGCGCCGTCCCTCTGAGCAACGATCACACGGAGCACCGCTGAGGCGAGCGCATCCTGCAGTGGGGTGAAGAGATGTGCGTGCCACTGCGCGAGAGCGAGCGTGTACACCGGCAAGATGTTCTTCTTCCCCTCGTCGCGCTCGCGCTTGACCCAGTACCGATTGAGGTATGCGAACAGTCTGTTGAGGTAGTTGGCGCCGGTCGTGTAAGCGTCCCATGCCGAAGCGTAAAAACGTAGGAAGGCGACGTCGGCGGCGAGGAATTTCGACAATGGGGTGTGTGAAAGTCCCCTCTGTGTGAGCGTAGAGGTGAGAACTCGGAGAAGGACTGGGGAGGTGGCTATATACCTGCAATACCGGCTCGAGGTACGTTGTGAGGTACACTTCCAGCTTTCCATACAGGTCCGCACCAACGAGATTCGCACCGGCTGCAGATTTTCCATGTCAGAATGATACAAGGGTGCGTTTAAAGAGCAACAGGAGAAACAGGGACAGGGACAGAAACCAAATCGGAGGACCCACTCACTCCGATTCCCCTCTAATCGCCCATGCATCTTGTTGCTCGTGCAGTAGTTATATACCGTCGTGTACAGGCTGGTATACCCCGCGAACGTGAGGCCGGGCCCCCCACTTCCGGCCGCCTGTCCCCTAACCCCGCTGCTGCCCTCAGACAGGTGCATGATGTACCCCGCGCCGGCGGCAAGGAACTCCCACGTCTCATCCAGCGTCGCGGACTTGCCCGGCGCCGTGGCGAAAAGATCGGCTGTCGGCACTGGTGCTGGAGACATCGCCGTCCTGTTTGGTAGGCTGTGGTCCTGCGCCGTGCTTGCACTGGGATCGTGCGGGGTCGTACTCCGTGAGCCGATGTGTTAGCGGGATACGGTGTGGTGGACGATCGTCAGATGAGCGGCTTAGATGTCGGTTGCGGTCCAGTCAGATGATGTGATGGATTGAAACTAAGAGAGGGACGTGTATGCGTCGTGTGCGTTAGTCTGAAAGGAGCGGGAAATGTAGTGCGCTGAGTCAGCGCTTCGTGGTCCTGTCAATCGTTATCATCCGTCGTCCTGTTTGTCTCCGGAACCATTCATTTCGGGTGCCCATCGTCAGAACACGCAGTGGCTGCGGTCGGCTTGCATCGCCATGGAGCACGTCTTTCCGTCCTCTCTGGATAATGATACGATGAGCGGAGAGTTGGCACGTGGAAGGCGGAGAGTTCACACGTGACCGACGCTGATTTGTATGAAGAGGATCCTGTATACCATAGTCAAGGACGGTTGATAGGTCATGCGATTTAGTGATCATATCCACTTCGAAAATCATTTAACCGTGGAGTAGGAAAGAGAGAATAAGCATAAGTAATCCCCCAGGCAGGGTAGTGACGATAGAGAGTATCTTAAACCTGCTCCCCATAGGCCGGTGGTAAACGTCCACTGGCGCTGCGCCCAAGTGACACATGGTCTACTGGACCCGCATCCACATGTCGCTCTGATGTGGAAGCCGACAGCACAGGCGCCCCACCCAAACTCGTCGCCTCTGCTTCTTCCGCTTCCAAAAACGGCTCGGCCGAATCAGCACGAGGGATGGCAGGAACAGGGACCCGATTTTTTCGTGGGAGAGGGCCCGCCTGTCGACCACTACTCCCAGCCCCCGACCCAGATCCTGAGAGAGCCGACGTGGAGTTGTCACCGCTGAGTTGCTGGGTGTGGAATCCCCGCCTCTGACTGGCGCCAGCCCCGGCGCTCGCAGCCCCCGCCACAGCGGCAGCTCCGTAACCACTGCTCCCCGAGTCCGAGTATGGGTTATACAGGCTGCCCTCGACGGCGCTGTGCGGCGCCCCGTGCGTGATGTGCTCATTCGATGTGGGGGCTGTGTCAGAATAGGGGTAGCCTATGCAGACGGCACGGCATCAGCATCTCGCCGCACTGATACGGGAATCAAACACGCACTGTCGACCACGAATCGCCCGCTGCCGGGCCGCTCCTGCATCGCATCCCTATCCCCATCGTTGTCGAGCGGTGCCTCCAACACGCCGGCACGTCGGCCATCATCGTACCTCCCTCGTCGGCGACGCCAGCACAAAAAGCCGAGCAGCGCGAAGGCGACGGCTGCCAGCGCGGCCACTGCAATTCCCGCGATTGCGCCCGATCCGATACCGGTGGACGGAGTAGGTGTCACAGATGCTGATGGGGATGATGTTGGGTTGCTCCGAGTAGATCTGTTCCAACGGTATGTCAGGGAAACAAGGGGATGAGAGGAGAGATGTACGACGAGCTGCTGCTGCTCCCAATCGACGACGAGGATGAGGTGTGTAACGTGGTTGATGCACAGTGGGTGAATGAGTTGTTGCCTGCAACGATGTTGTCCTTGACGATCGTGTCCCGGGTATAAATGCTGGCGAAGGGGGAGGGAATACGTTAGCTTGCTCGCAGACTCCAGGAACGCGCGACTCACTAGAACCAGCTCCCATCCGACCATCCGTTCGAGTACAAATCGTCATTGATCTTGAGTTGCTTGTTGCAAACCGCCGTTTGAATGTCCTTGGGCAGAGCATTCGATACGGGGCCCGAGCACGTCGAGACATACCCCTGGTATGCTGTGGCTCCCGCGTCGATGCCGGTGCCACTACCGATAGGTTGTTGGCAGCTAACAGAACGAGTGGCATCAGCATGCGGAACTGTAGAAGGGACATCTAAAAGGTAATACGTACTTAAGACAGAGCATGCTCAGTGCGAACGCGATCGTGTTGCAGCAGCACGTCGAAAGTTGGTCCGAGCACGTGTCCGGCGGTGTATTCACGTTCTGCACGCCCACAGTGTCTGGCGCGCCGATCAGCTGAAAAGAACATCTCAGAGAGAGGAATCAACGCACATTGGGAGTTGCATATCCCTCGCAGGCTCTGGTACGTCTGACCTGTGGGGCGGGTCAGGAACAGGGTCCGAAGAAGCGACGTGGGAATCGGAGGGAAAAGGAACGAAGCAACGACGTACAAGGTGTTTCCCCGACCATGTCGATGTACCACTGCATCCCCGTACCATTGCATGCAAGGTGGTTCGGTAGCACAGCAGCCATCTCGTTTCAATCGGTGCGGTGTGGAAGGTCTTTTTCTTTGTCGGTCAGTCAGTACCGCGTATCTCTCCCTCGCGTCTCACTCGTGCCTGCTGTCCGTGAAGTAGAAGAAGAGTCCGATCGGAGGGGTGGGCGCCCGGAGCCGGTGTCGCAGTCGTGGGGAGGTTGTCGTCGCGAGTAGGTAGGGAGGGGGGAAAGCACTCACGGTGGAGCTTTGTGACAACGGAATCTAGCTACAAATGGATAGTGGCGATGTCCACAGCAGCCGACGATCAGATGCGTGCTCTTTTGGGGCTTGGCGCCCTGTCCGATCGCGCAGAGCGCATCTGATGTGATGGCTTCCCGCCTTGGAAATGTTTTAGGTACCTGCCCAACACCCGTGAGTAGAAAAGAAGGCCGACTAAGGTTCTGGATTGAAGATTCTCAACGAGATAGCCAGCCGAATTGCGAGCTGCGCTTCAATCAACCAGGAACATATCATTCCAGCATTTCATCAACAACGAGTGGGAGGTGACGCAACAAACGCTCCAGGCGCCATCCAGATTACAGTTTGTCATTTTCAAAGACAGCACTTAGTAAACAGACGCACTTTGATGCTGATTTCGTTCAGGCCGTTTGTCATGAGACAACTCTCAAGCTTGCGTTCACGGTTTTCTCAAGCCGGGTGTCCCGTACATATGGAAGTCCACTGCGGCAGTTTCATGTCTCGACCAGAATTCACGCTACGAAAGGCTTCCCATCGATTCGCTTAATACGTTCCCTGGGTTGTTCGCTTTCGCCAATAATCATAATAGTCAGTAAAGCCCATCATCACCTGCTTGTCAGTCCAGGTAATAGTGATGATCAGATGCAAGCACCGCCACAAATCATGGTGATGTGTCTCAGCTTTCGTCACGAGAAAGGGCTCACGTTTCTGGCCTGCGCGGTATAATCGTTGAAACATGTTTCTAACTTGATTAGAAATTTTGAGTGGTAATTTTCTCCATTGCATCTGCGTTCCGGCGAATGAATGGTATACTATATCCTTGGGAAGCAGACCCCGGCCATGAATCGCTACCTCTCACAACGAGGTGCACGAAAGATGTGCAGACGCAGGAACGATCATGGCCCACCCCAATTTATTTCCACCGGGAGTTTCGAGCGCATTTCACGGACTGCATGAAAGGTGGCCAGTCTAATGGAATGAATTGGCCGCACTGGCGCGGAGGTGTACTTCTCTAGCAGGGACTTGGTGTGCGGTCAGACTACGGACCACCTGTCTTCCGGGTTTTTTGCGTCGGCCATGAAGCCGGAGTTAAGTCCGGAAAATACTAGACACGGCGAGAGATTAATATAACCGATTCACGCGGGATGCAAACAAGATCCTTGATAAGGCATGGTAGAATACGGAAGAAGGTAGGCAATCCCGCAGTACGTGTTGAATCATGACGATGAAGTCTCCAAAGACAAATTTAAGCGCCCGAGATGGTGAAGTACGGGCTGAAGTTGCCCGAGCTGCCGAACACTTACCGACCAAATCGATTCAGATCGTCTTCAGATTGACCAAGATAGGATGACTCACGAACGAGCTGGTAATCGTCGCCGGTGATCACCGACGGAACGATAATCTCAACCTGACCCACGGTGATGTTGAACCCTTCCGCCAAAATCACTAGATGACCAGACGCGATTCAGCACGTGATGGGTCTGATGTTGAGCTGAGGGCATGTACGCACGGGGAGTGGTGTAGTTGGCCTTGCGGAGCATGATGCGTCCTTGGTTGTTCGTGATCTGCTTCGGAGCGTGGGACACATCCCTGGTCGTACGTAAATCCCATTGCCGACGATGACAAGAATGGACGACCGCACCAAGTGATGTTCGTCTTCCACCCGACGGTCCAGACGTCGCCGGTAGTCGGGGACGTGATGGGCGGTTCGAACACGTCGAGCACATGCGGCGGGACCACAGCAGCGGCGCCACTAACAGAGAGCATCGCAGAGACGAGCGTGACAAAGGTGGTAGTGAATTTCATCGTGGATGGAGGGTCGTAGTTGAGGAGTTTAGAGAAGAACGAGTTGCGTTAAAGGGAGAAGGGAGGTGGAGTGAAGATTGAGAGGCCAGTTGGTATCCTTTATACTAAATTCGTTCACGGCATTCTTCACGTCAGCCGCTAAGGTAGACGGCGCCTTCTGAGCGGTTGTCTCTGCTCAGACGTGAGGTAGGCGACGAGGCCACTGCTCAGCCGTCATCCGACCTGTGAGCTCCACCGTAGTCATGTGCCGCATAGGGCAGAAGTGCCCGCACTTTCGTCACTAGATCAGGCCGGTACTGCGTCAGGAAATCGACCTTTCGTACCCGAAGGAAGAAGCACCTGCTGCCGAGCTCCATGCTCGTCAGTCACTGTTGTTGCCCGGGCCAGACTTTGAAGCGACCTTCGTGACCCTGTAGACCATAGCCGTGGTCACCATTCGTGCTTTTCATGTCGGAGTTAGTTAACCGCGGACGTGGTGAGGGTTTTCCGGATCACAGCCTAAGCAAGATATGTGGCCATGATTCACCACTTTGCGTCGCCACTCGAAGAGTCCTGGTCACCCACGCTTCTCGCCGCGTTGTCTTTGTCATTTGGCGCTGTTACCCTGACTAGCTCGGAATTTCCATTTATCCAGGCACATGAATCTACTTCACACTTGGACAGTTGTATTGCGCACGGTCACAGTCGGAGAAGGTATTTGCCGACGCCGTCAACGCCGCCCTACGCACAATCTGCCCGCTCAACGATCCGGCCCCGTGAAATGCCAATACAGACTCTCGTTGTGTGATTTGATCAGCTTAACGACCGAGGGGACTTCAGAATCTGAAGCGTTCTTGAGATGAGGGTGTCACCCGTACAACGAGCATGGAACATGAACTCCAGCTGCGAGTGATTTCGAGTTGTATACTTTCAATGTCCAGTCTTGAAACAGCGCGAAACTATTTCAGATCAGTCTCCGACCGACATTTCACCGCCTTCTAGGTTTACTTGATTGACATAAAGCCTTTGCAATTTGTTCTTGTGATTTGAGTCAGTGAGACCTGAATATACTCTTGAAGCAATTCGATGGGAGTGCCCGAATAACCACCGCTCTTCTGCCTGCCCAATGCAGATGCTCCCTACTGCGTTATTTGGATTATTCTCCGTCGTCGAGTCAAACAAGGAACTTTGAGGATCTGACCGCAGGGAAATTCTTCATTACATCCCGAAGTCAATCCCACAGCGGGACAGGATCACACCTTGAGGCACTGACCGGACACAGAATTGGGTGGAAGGAACGCTACCTTCATTTGCCACGGCTCACGTAGTGCAAAATGTAAAGTTGATGAAAATGTCTGAGTTGTTTCAGTCTGGCCAAGTCGACGTTATTGGTATTTCTCAGTGGGCTTGGGACCCAAATAAATTGGGAAGTGCCGTAGTAATTTCCGTGCGTGAACATTGTCAGTCTCATGAAATAAGGACGGAAGTCATTCCAAAATTGAATCTCCATCCATTGCTGTCACTATGCCGCACCTCTGCAGTCCTATGCACCAATGTCCACCAGGCACAAATTGAGAATTTCGCAATATGTCATTCGTAATATGTCATAGTCGCTGATACCCCCAAAGACGTCAATGTCGATCACTGATGGCGGTGCCACAGAGGTGATGCCAAGGCGCTGCGGTGCTGCACCTCCCCAGTCCATCACAGGCTTTCTTCTCGCTTTCTCGAACCTTTTTCGCTTTCTCCCCTCGCTCTTGACGAGTCTTTCTTGTCTTCTTCATCTGCTGCCCATCCTTCCTTTCTTTTTCGCAACGGACGCTCTATTCGACTTCTTCTCCCACGACATCGACATGACTACTACTGTTACCGTCACTGTATCTCAGGCCTCGACGACGGCCGGCGTTCAGAAGCAACGCACTCACCTCATGCGTTCGACGCGCAAGCTCGGTGCCCTCCTCGGTGAGACTCCCCTCATTATCGACAACTCTCGCCACGAACACACCGCGTCCATGTCCAGCATGGCATCCCGACGCTCAGGCATGATCTTCCTGGGCACCGATTTACTCGCGCTCCCCCCACCATCGCCGGATGGGTTGAAATCTGTTGAAAGCTCCGGTGCAAAGATGGATAGGCCTATGCTCTTCCTGCGTCGGCCGCTCCCCACCCTCCTCTCGACTGCGCCCTCGCCCCAATCGCCCTCCTTTCCAGCCCTTACTCCAACGACACCTCTCACCCCGGAGCCAGTGGTAGTGGACCGACGGAAGAAGATGGCGAAGCTTACCCGCACGCTCGGTGTCAATCCCCCCGCCGAGCTTGTGTTCCGGGGAGTCAATGCGAAAGAGCTCGCCGCGATTCCGTCACCGCACTATGTCTCTTCGGTGCTCGCGGCCTTGGGCCCTGCGAACAGTACGGTGGGAAGCCGTGCGTCCATGATGTCGGTGGAGTCGCTTGCCAGCCCCACACGCGAGGCGACGTTGTTGCCTTATCGAGCCACCGCAGCGCGCAGCGCTTCGAGCCTGGCACTTCCCAGCTCTTCGGGACCATGGGTTAATGGTGGGGAGCGATTCTCGTCCCCGCCGGCCTCCAGTGCTTACCCGGACTACTCCCACAAGCACGCCCGGTACGGATCGACCTCCAGCACTCGTTCAGAGACCCCGTATCCTGCTCCCCCAGTCGCCACGACCTCGGAAGCCGAGGCCGTGGAGAGCAAGACTTCGCGCTCGACAGCCGACGCGCGGTTCCTCTCCCGACACTTCATAGTGGACCTCCCGGAACGCACGTCCTCGCGCATGCACGTCCAGAACCTCCGCGCCCTGTCGCCCGCTGTGGGCTTGCGCTCCCCGTCGCCGACCTGGTCATTGTCTGAAGATGTGGATGCGGATGCGGATGAAGCGCTCGTACGCGAGGAGGTGCGGGATGGGTGGACCGGCCAATGGACATTCGAGGGCGGGGCGGCGGGGCAGGATATGCAGGATGTTGTCAAGCAGCTGCGTGAGATGAGACTGTAGGACTGTAGCTAGATGTTTGGTGATGAACTTGCGCTTCCTTGCTTCATAACGCATACGATTTACCGTGATGTAGTATGTCGTGTATCACTCCTTCGTCTATCATCCTTGTTTATTGGCGTATCTGTATCACACTCTTGGTGTATTGAGCCTCACAAGAGTGCCTAACCACACGACTCGGAATCTAATCTTGAATCCACGTTTCAAGAAGAGAAGGGTGACCTCAGGCGATGTTTAGCCATCACATGATATCAGTTCATAATCAACCCGAAAGACCGTTGATTTAATTATCCTCAGTACGGCTAGCGCCCCAGCCGGACGATTCTCTCAGGATACGGACGTGGAATATTCTCAAGCTGGGGAGGGACGGCAGGACATGCGCTCTGCCGGAGGAATGCCATCAGCGGGATGCCTGCATACCTGGACGTCTTTTCCTCTATCCTTGCCATTGATCCCCTGGGCCTCACGGCTCGCGGCCCCAAACCCGCCTCGTTCTCATGAGCTGGGTTGGAATGCGTGTCGTGCGGCGTGCCTGGTTGTCATGGGTATCACGTGACTGTTTCGGTTCTGCGGCACTGCCAGATCTCGCGGATGGGATCTCGCACGACACAACCTGTAAGATATGGCATTTGAGCGCTAGCCACATCTGCGATAGTATGAGGTCCTGCATTCAGCTTTGTGCTTGAGGCTGTATGACTCCAAATAAAAGCCTGTGCATATGGATTATTCACGAGATGCCCGCATGTTTGTTGCCACCACTGTTTTTTGTCTCCATTCTCTTTCTGGCAGCTGAGTCACGATACCCATCTTTTACCACGGACTCAGCGTCGACGCATTTTTCTTGGAAAAGTCTTTCGCAGGGGATTACTTCAAGTTGATCCACGAGCGGGTTTCAGTTTTGGTATCGGCCGTGCGTTCATCATAGGACTGACTGTATGTGTTGAATTTGCAAAGGTCCTGTCTGCATTATGATGTTTGTCCCTGGAACAGCGCAGCCCCCCAGCGGATCAGCCCATCATAAAAACATTCTGTCCTGCCAAGGCATGTCTATTCCGTAAACATTCCATCGAACCATCATAAAAACTTTTTGTCTGTGCGCCTGGGCAGCCCGGGCGCCCAAATTGGGCCTGTGTATCAATGCCCATTGGCCTGTCCGCTCCCCTGACCAAGCGGCTTACACGTGGGCAGCTGGATGAAGCTGTTCATCAGCACAGCGTATATTTAGCCATTGTATGTCAAACCATGACTCGCTGCGCGGTCGGGGTTGGTACAAAAAGGCGGGGTCTCGCCGCTTGGACTCTCTCGCTTACCACGTTCTGTTCTCACTCACAACCTTACAATCGCTTCTAATGCCCAACCCTCCGCGCTCGCGCATCGCCTCTTCGCCTGCTACTAGCAATGCCACTACGCTGACGTATTACGACGACGATGCCGTATCCGACACCACCACGGTTGTCGCAGGCGACTCAGACCGCGAGCCTGGATGGACAGTCTCAACCACCATCCAGGAACTCTATGGCAACCCGATCGACATGTCGTTGCCCGCCTCGATCGTTGGGCCTGCGCTCGGTCTCCCGCTCACACAGTCTCATTTCAAGGACCTGTCCAGCCCCGCATTTGATCCGGACCCTGAGCGCCTGCGACATATCCGGCTGACATTCCCATTCCCCTTCGAGCACCTCACAGTCGACCTGCGCCCAAGCGCCCACGCACTCTACATCACGAACGGCGACATCGCCGTGGCTATCCGCCAGGCGCTGCGCAAGCCGCTCGCCGTGTCGAGCCTGCCCGGTGCCTCCAACGAAGGCTTGCAGCAGGCGCGTCGTGCACGGTGCGAGCGTGTCCGCCAAAGTCTCGAGAGCAGCACGACGGTGCCCATCCCGGCGCACCAGGCGCGGGTGCTTGAGGAGGAGCGCACCTCGGCGCTTGTGTGCGATCTGCTGCAGGGACGCGTCATGTGGGCCGGCTTGATGGCGGCGAAGGGCGCCGACGACAAGTGGGAGGTTCTCCTCCAGAGCGCTTGAAGTCATGCCTTGTCGATGTCAGACAACACATCACGACTTTTCACGCGTTATGCTTATGTGTGCGCACTTGCGCTCACCCGCCATGGTTCAATGCGCTAGAACCGAGCTCATTTGAGCCATAGCCCGCCTGTCTGTATCTTTTCATGGATTTTTGGACTGACTCTCTCACCCTAACTCCTCTGTAAATCATGTATCCTGAATCAATAATACTGTGTATTCTTACAACGTCCATAAGGCTGTGCGTGTACTAGGACGCTGTTACACAGCAAGGTCAACAAAGCACACCTTTTGAGAAATGGTAAAGCTGTTTGTCCCACGGCAGTGCAAATTTCATGCCTTTGCGAGACACCTATGTAGCTGTTAACCGTCATATAGTTCCGGTTTTCCCTGAACTAGCGGTTAAGAGCTGTCAAGTACGAGATCCTAAACCTCTGATTTTCCATCCCTCATAACTCAGCTTGTATATTATCAATATGTATTGAGATTATCAACGGTAAATTCAAGCTACTTCCAGGGCCTCTGGTTTTGCAAAACTGTTAGGCTAACGTCAAAAAATATGCAGGTCTGCATGTTTTCTCGTAAGAATCTTGTCAGGATTAGTGTCGTCTCTTCAGTCGATCCGATGGCTGACAGTCTAAATACATTCTCATCCCCGGAATGCTTTCCCCTTACGGTGCTCCGTGGGCCTGTGTCATCCACATCTCGAAACATCAATCCCTCGCACTGCAACAGGGTGCATAGCAACGACGAAATAGACCCCTGCACCAGTGCGACGCTGCCTTCGATGGAAGATTTCAATGTTTCAGTGCCCGAGCTCTGGGTCCTGTCCGAAAGAGCGCAGGGCCTGATTCTGCCAGATTGGCCAGTACCGCCGCGAGATCAGAGGTATCAGTTCATCATTTGATGATATCGAACTCAGTGATGTCACATCATACATGATGGGACACGATCAAAAGAGGCGCGGAGGCGCTGTTGGACGGCGCGAGCACCCCCTCAGTGATTCAACGGCCGCGCATCACTGCCATGCCGCGCACGTGAGTCACTCACCGGAATTTGTTGGACCATCTTACACTTTGCAATGAACTAGGCCGTGCCGAAAATAAACTGTATTCATTTGACTTCCCACTTGATACTGAACCCGGGTGTCATACCCGAGTACACTTTCGGGTACGACTTGAGATCATGGCACAATTTCAGGGTATTACCCCAGGGCCCACCGCCACAACTACAACTTACCCTCCGCGGCCATCTCTGCTGCCAATACGGCATCCGGATCGCGACCTTTGACCTCCGGCAGGAGCAGCGTGAAGAATGCGCCGAGAATGCAGCACGCAAAGAAGACTGGGAATACGTTCAAATCACGGTCAAGGATTTGAAGATGGGGTTCCGCGTACTCCAGAGAACCTTGGGCGTCCCGATCGAGACGCTGAGCTGGTTGAACGCCAAGGCGCTGATGATTGCACCGAGCTTTCCGCAGGCGGCGGACATTCCGTGCGCGAATGCGCGGAACTTGGTCGGGAATAGTTCAGCAGGGTAAAGCTGCGACAGTTATTATCAGTGAGCGAGAAATGGAGGGTCGAGCTCACGTAAGTCGTGCTGTGAGTGGGTTTCAGTAAAGGTCATCTTACCCAAGAACGTGATGGCTCACGCATTAGCGCCGAAGTTGAAGAAGAATTGGAGGAAGGCGAAGCAGACGATGAACGCCGGTTTGCTCAACTCGTGGAACTTGCCAGCCAGAATACCCACTAGAGCAGAAACACGTTCGGTTCCTTGAGCTAGCAATTTCTGCCTAGCACTTACAGAAAAGAGCCGCCATCAGGAACCCTTGGATTTGGATGAACTTGCGGCCCAGCGTTTCAACGGTGAGAACAGTGACGTAGTAACCTAAAGAAGCAGAAGATTTCAGCAGCCGTCACCGGCTCCATAAAATCCAACCACCAGACTCACCAGGCACGAATCCGAGAGCCGTGATGATCACATCACCAATGCCGAGCTTGAACAGTCTCTCCCAGTCACTGGTCCCCGTCTTTCCGTCAAATCCGATCTGCTGCAACACGACATTTTGGTTGAGATTGATCCCGTAGAAGCTGCACCGTGTCTAGCAATGAAATACAGCAAGGCTAATCGAGAGCACGTACGCGATGTCCAGGAGGAACCAGCATGAAGCCGTTCCAATCAAGAGCTTCAGGTGCCGCCATTCTCTGAAGTATATCAAGAACTCTGTCCTCACGTTGAAAGATCGATGGTGCGAAAATAAGCGAGAAATGTACCTCGGAAATGGGCCTTCTTGGTTACCACGTTTTCCCGCACCACGGGTTCCGCAGACTCTGAATCACTGCCCTGTGACTTTTTGAGATCCGAGGAGAGGTCGGTCTGCTGAGATTCGACGTATCGCGTCGATTCGGGGAGAGTAAGCCGCTGGTACAGCGTCCCAAACGCAGGGATGAGGGAAATTCCGACAACGATCCGCCAGACTGGATGACACGGTCAACGAATATAGAGCACCAATCGGGCAGAAAACTCACCCCCATCGACCTTGCTCGTTTTGCCCTCGTCCAGCATCACATGTTTGTAGCACGCCAGGGTCACGATGAACGCCACAGATCCAAAGAGCGAGCCCCAGCCCTGGTTCGCGAAGATGTAAGCCAGCAGCGTGCCCCTCTTGCGGAGGACCGCGCGGTCCGTCGTCACGGATGCGCTCATGGGATAGTCCCCACCCACGCCAATGCCGAGGATGATCCGGAAGACGGTGAGGTAGATGAGCGACGCGTCGGCGCTGATTCGCCCTGGTTCGACGCTGAGTGATACGACGCGGTGGAGTGTATGAAGAGGAGCCCACCGGTCGGCGTAGTCAGACACATGATCGTCGCGAAGATGATGAGCATGAGCTCTTTCCCGTCTAATTCACCCCAAAACGTCTCAGTTCTCGAGCGATAGGTAACCTCTCTGCCTCAGCGCCGACTCACAGATAGCTTTGCGGCCCAACGCATCAGCCATATACCCTTTGCGTAGTTGACAGTCAATGCGTCATCGCGGATCTAACATGATACTCACCAAATCCGAACTGTCCGATGACGCTCCCGATGTTGGCCGATGCCTTTAGCAGACCTTGGAGCCCTGCCGGCAACGCATGGCCGTTGTAAAGCCGAAATTGGAGCATCGTGGCGACCGGCTGCGGTGTGGAGCATTAGGGTGACTGTTGCGCGGGCTCGGTGGGAGAGACGACGTGCGTTAATGACGAACAGGTCATAAGCTGTTTGGGAATGTGGGTGGGTTGGTTGTACACTGAGACGTTGTTCACTCACCATCCAGGAAGAATCCGACCTATCGCCCCCGACGAAGTAAGGAACTGCGGTATGAGAAAACAGCACACGACTCACACCTGCGATACCCAGCAGCTTCGCCTCTACTTTCGTCAGGTAGAACGTCGGTTTGTTATCCTCCCGCTCGACCTCTCCCAAACGGGGACCCTGCATAGGCGCCATGGCCGGCTTTTCGATGGAGGACATGGGTGGGCGGAGAGATGGGGGAGGAAGAGAAGCCGCTGCAAAGCGGCCGCGCCATATGGTAGACTTTCAGGTGTTTATGTAAAAGAAGCTGACTGCTGCTATATGTGCCGGAGAAGCACGCTGATGGGTATCAAGTTAAAGCATGCGTGCCTTGGAGCTGGACTTCAAGCTGATGTGGAGTGACCGGGTCCCATCGCGCCCGGTCAAATCCAGGACAGCAACCGGCACCTCGAAAGCTGAGAAAAACTGAGAAAGGTGTCGCATGCGTCTCATCATCGCATGCGCACACCTCCCACGAACAGCGCAACAGCTTCGGACTGTCAAATATCGCAGGCGCAGGCCGAAAAGTGACATGTTCACGTTGGCAGATCATTTTCATATTTCTTATTACTCAAACCAATTGGCTGCTGTGTCAGCATGATGCCGTCATGAGCTGCGAACTGTGGCCGCAAGCTGTTTGTAGTCTCGCAGGTTCCAGGGGGTGGCATTCATTGAGATGAACTCTGATTGTTGCTCGTTCATTGTGGACTGTGCACCAGATTTGGAAGAAGAGAGTGTCGAGACCCTGATCAAGCCTACATAGGGTTCGGGGCCAGACTTTTCTGACTGATCGTCGCCGCCTGAACATTCACGCAAAAATTGAGCCGGCTTTGAGCTCAGCCGAACTCCGTGGGAGCATAAGACGCGAGAATGGGGTCAGCAGCGCGAACGCCGAATACTACTCGTAATCCTTCGAGAAAGCTGACAAAAATGCCACGGACACTGACATTTCATTTGGCAGCAAAACTGGGGGCTGGTTGCACGCTGGCTGCAGGGATTCTTTCTAATTTGTCAATCACTTTCTAATTCTTCAATCACAGGACACAATCCCACGACGTATTTCTAACTTCCCTTTCGAACACTGTCCTATATGCCTAGGCGTGCCTCGAACGGATACCTCTTTCTTATCTCACACGCGAGGTCCCCATCCTGACGATGCCGAGTACTCGTAACCAGCGCCTCTCCACCGATCTTCCAACTCCAACAACGCGTCGATCGCTCCAAGCACAGTCTTCGAGAGTCAATATCTCAGAGAAAGGGAATGAACACAAATCCGCACCTCGTCCAAGGTATGAAAGTCGCCGACCTTCATGCCGAGCACCTGTTCCACCCTCTCCCAATCCATGGGCATGGCACCTTTCGTCGAAGGCGTCGGCGGAACAGTCATCAGACGATCTTTCAGCGCGGGCCGATTTTCGGCGATATATTCCAGGATCTGTGCCCACGTCTTGCCGTGCGGGGAGGACAACAGGATCCGCTTGCGCCCCACCTCGGAGCTTGGTGGAGATACCAGAGCCTGGACGTGTGCTTTCGCGACATCGCGCACGTCGACGAAGTAAGACATGGGACTCATCAACTGGCCTCGAGGTTGGATGAACTGGTACACGTAATCGTTCGTCGAGAGCATCGCAGTGTCTGGTTCGGGGATGCGGAATTCGGGTGTGAATGGGCCAAAGAAGAAGGTGGGATTGACTGGGCGTCCGGATCAGTTCAGAACTGGTTGATTCGAGGGAGAAGTGAGTGAACGCACGAGTGGTGACGTCCACTTCCGGGTGCTTCTCCGCCCAATCCCAAAGCGCCAGCTCCGCGAATTTCTTCGAAGCCGAGTACGTCAAGAGGGGTGGGGCGTCAGATGCAAGGGCGAGTTCCCGAGTGACCGGGTTCCAATCTTCGAATAGAATGAGCTGAGAGCTGGCCACTATGATCAGGAAAGCAACACGCTACCTTTGTCGGTGAGTTTGTTCTCCGGGTTCAGGACCGAAGCGATCGAGCATGTGACGACGATGCGCTTGATGCCAGCCTTCTCAGCCTGGCGCACCACGTTCATTGTGCCCTCTTCTGCCGTCTGCAGATATTATCAAGCGTGGAACACATCAAGTAATCGTGTCGCACCTGCAGAATTTGAGCCGGCGCCTCCCGGCCTGCCAAAGGCGAGGCGAGATGAACAAGCGCGTCAACGCCAGCCAACGCGGCGGGAAACGTGTCATGAACGAGATCTTGGATGGCGACTGCCTCGAATTGACTGGCATGCGAGGCGTATCGCTCCCTCAGTAAGTCGACCTTGACACCACGAGCAGCACTGATCCTCAAGAGTCAGCCTGCGAGCACTGGCACCAGTGGCGCGTCGAGTGAGCGAAGTACCCACGCTCTGACGCGGTACCCCTTCTCGAGAAGCTGCAGGACAACGTGCGAGCCGAGGAATCCCGAAGCGCCTGTGACCTTCACATACGAGTGAGACAACAAAGAGGAGACAGTGGACTGCACGGACGAAGATCAGTTTATCGGGCATGGTGTAATGAGCTCGTTGGGGAAGGATGATCGATGTGGATAAGATCTTTCGGGTGCGTGTCCAGCTGTTATACCCTCCGCTCGAGCGCCCGAGCTTTGTCACGAGTCTCCCACACCGAGCCCGCAGCCCGGGGCCGAGCCACATTGGTAAGGTGGCCGAAGCCTTGAATCGCCGTGCGCCGCGAAATCAAGTGAAAGCTACCGGTATACCAGCGGCTGCAGCGGTTTCGGATGACAGGATATATGCGGCCAGTTGTTTATCGTATGCGAACTGGTCCGAAGAGAGCAGTGAGTATGACCTCATTGCACAGCCACATCGATTTCTGCTGTCATTGCTTAGCTTCGCCCTCTCGAGAAACAAGTGGAGATCATACCATGCTCTATGAATGGACACGTCCGGCTACGATGTTTCACCTGAAGAATTTCGCGGAAAGCCTCGCAGAGAGGCCCTGCACTTTTGGCTCACCCCACACGAATTTACGCATTCCGGACCGAGGGACTCTGTACATGGACAGCATACGGACTGCCTCTTCATGCAAGGTTCGATGTCGAGGTCTCATGTGACAAGGTAGGATGGAGGATATTTGTTCGTGACCGTTCCTAGGGGTCGAGATCATGCCGTCCATCGTACACGGCGAGTCTGCAGGTCTCGTGTCCCTCCGGCTCGATTGATCGATCACCCTCGCCAGCCGATGTCCATGCATCCAGCATTCACCCTGTATGACCCTGGTACGGTCAGCGGTTCCTTGGACTGCCATGGTGTATAGGCTATCATGACACTCTCTGACTTTCGCATATCAGACGCCCCTTACTATCCATCGACATTCTCCCAGTGTCCTGTCCCATCTCCATACCCGGGTATGGCCTCTTATCTCCATGGCCGACGCCCGAGCTCAGCGACCGTCTACCAACATGCGAGAACTGCGTTTCGTCCCAAAAAGGAAATCTCCGTTTTTGGGAACGGAAACCAGCGGTTGGCAGGCATACGCGTAAAATGGTTCGGCAGAACGCCACGGTCGGCACCAGCGCGGAATCGTGTGCTACCAGCCTATTCACTTAGCGGCCTATGTGTCAGGGCCTTGGCCTCATTGGCACACTGTGTGCCACAAGGCCATCCCCGCGAGAGCTTTCTTCTGTATTCATCTGCCTCCGTCGTCCGCTTCCAGTTGTCGAACTCACTCGAGGACACCACTGTCGTAGTCGGCTGTCACAGCAGGGCTCTCTCAATTTTTTCATCTACAGACTGTTCTGTTTTCACTAAAAATTGTTGATCATGATCATTCAAACAATATCATAAAATATGATACAGCAGTCAAATTGAACTGGTCGGCCATTTTCCGCGTTCTGTGACGTACGCCAGTTCCGCAGCTCATATCAATATAGCCGTTTTTGTTCTCTGACACGAAACACATGACTCTTGGAGGGACTCCAGCGACCTGCGACCGGTTGGTCTGAGCTTGACCTCAATAACAGATTTGATCGGCTAGGTTCGGGGGTCAAGCGCTCAAGCCCGGGTTGGGACTGTTATGAGGTTCAGGCTCAACCCTGAGGATTACAAACGCTGCCAGTGCTTAGGCTTTCACAAAGTCAGCCCGAACGAACCACCTCGTCCTCATCGCAGACAGGCAAACAAGATTCTTAACCCAGACAAGCCGGCTTGGCTCCCCGCAGACTTTGCCACATGTTTACTGCTGTGTCCTGTACTCTATTTTGATCTGCCCCAAACTGAGGTCGAAGTATGTGGGTCTCCCACTGCGTGCAAGGGTGGATGAGATCTTCCTTTGGCCGTGCATTAGACGCAGCTGATCTAATCAATCGGAATGCGATCATCGTATGCGCCACCCGCAGAATGACTGCTTGCTTCGGAAATTGTCTTCGGATCCATATCGTGTACATGTCCATGTATGTCAGTGTCTGGTCTCCCGTTACCGATCGCCATGTCGCCACATTAGCTGCCGGCTGAGGTCATCCTGGAGACACGCTTGCAATCCGCAGAGCGACGGATGAAAGCGGCGGACAATCGATGCTTGTCTAGTTCAACTGAGAGTACAGACTGCGATTCAACGCGGTGGGCACCTTGAAGCACTAGCTTGCGATCGAGAGCGACACGAGAAAGGCCGGCTTCCGAGTTGGTTTCACAGCAAGATAAGTAATAGCACAGTTACAAAAGCGCGAGAACGTAAATACACGATAACCATTCCTTTCTAAATCACACCCCAAATCGGCGCTTCACCGCGGCATGCTGCGCACATCACTCTCAGAATAGCGTCCCACCCCCAACTCCGACGCTTCCGAATCAGGCCATAGAGCTGTTCGCCCCAGCGCGATTTTAGCGGCATTTCCGGATCCGTGGTCGAGCGGCGTCAGCGGCGTCTCAGGTGATGAGGCCGAGGAGCCGGACCAGGTCGAACCCGGCGGAGTGGGGCTGCGGTGTGGATCGGGGGCCAGTGCCAGCGGACGGGGATTGGCTTGTTGTGACTCGAGGTAAGGAATCTGATACGGCGAGGGGCGGGGCGATGTGGTAGGTTCGGATGCGGAGTGGTTGCGATAGTGTCTACGCATGTTCGAATTGACGTTGAAGGCACGTCCGCAGCGTGGGTATGGACAGGTGAACGCTAGAGAAGAGCATGAATCAGCGCTTGGAAAAGGGGGGAAATGGATCAAAGAAAACAGGGAAACGAGGAGAAGCGCCTGATCACACCGCTGCTAGGCGAGCTTCTGGCGCGGATACTGATTGCTTTTCATCCATGGACAATCCAGAACCATTCCCGGAACGGAACGCAGAAAAGCGAAAGGCACGCACGCATCTCGCCCGTGTGGGTATTCACATGGATCCGCAGACTGCTAGGACGATTGAATCGCTTGCCGCAGATATCACACACATGTTTCCGGCTGCGCATCTCCAGCTCGTCCTCGACCCCTTCGTCCACCTCCGCCTCGCCTTCGACCTCGAACTCGTCCTCCTCGAGCTGTCTTCCGCGCCGGCGCGTCGCGAGGCGCTGCAGGTACGCCGACGAGCCCGAGGCCGAGTCCGCCCTGGCGCGCTTCGCAGGTGCAGACGAGAGCGCGGAAAAGATGAAACGGGTCCGCATCTTTGAATTCTGATTGTCCGTGATGGGCGGGCTCATGGGCGCCGCGCGATGATGACTCGTATCACCGTGATCTGTGGGCTGCGGCTCTGACGTGCGGAGTAGATTCTCGTGCAACTGTAGTGGTGCGGGGGGTGGGAGCAACAGCGGACTGGTGCCACTGCCGCGCGTCGGCTTGCACGTCGGCGCGAAGGGATGCGGTTGTGGAGGGGCAAAATGATGGTGCTGATGATGCCCATCGCAGCCTCCCTGGCCGAGGGTGGCATGAGGGTAGGCACAGGGACATGTGCTGCTCTGGCACGCGCATGTGCTGTGAGAGTGAGGGAGCAGGGTCTGCGGATGGCTGCGTGGATGTGGGTGGCTGTAGCGCCCAACGTCGACGCCGAACTGGTGTTCGGGGAACATCTCTTGGATCCCGGGAAGGACGGGCATCTTCGGGGAGGCGGAGCGGGCGGCACTCATGGTCTCGGCGAGTGCTTGTATGGTGCGAGGGGGAATGCGGGCGTGGATGCAGATGGGTGGGCAAAGCAGGGCCACGGGAGGGGAGCGAGGAAAAGGGAAAGGGAAAGAAAGGAAGAACAGAACAACAGCACCCGCCCGTCGATCCTGACAGCTGTTATGTACGTATCGAGCTGCCGCACACACATAACACCGAGACGTCTACGCTGTTATGCCTGGGAAAAATGGTCCCCAGCCGGATCGCCGCCCACCGGGCACTCCGGCCTCCTGGCTGCAGATGACGAGGAGCGAGTCGAGCGCTCGCCGACGGAATATGGTTTGCGATCGAGCAGCAAACACGAACACGTAATCGACATCGTTCAGGGAATCCATCGAGACAGGGATTGGCAGTGGGCCATACACGAGGCGGATTAGCGCCCGCGGGGAGCACGTCAGAACAGTAAATGAAGGCTGATCGATCGACGCGTGACGTCGCAGATGATGTAAATCCGTCGATCGGATCGGCGTCGGGTCCCGGTTTGATCAGGTCTTGCAAGGCACACCGCTTTGGGCAAAGTCTGCGGCCGAAGGGGAATGCGTGAGACACAGCACGGGTGGACATCTCGACCAGAAATTCATCATTTCTCATGTCGAGTAGAAACAAAAAAAAATACCTAGTTTCTTCATGTCGGAAATCAGTGGGTTTTCTCATGCACGGGAGAACAGTAATCATGTGAAACCTCTCAATCGGACAAAGAGCACATTGATTTCTTCTTCAGCGTAAAACAAAGAGCGGAGACATGGCAGTTCTGCTTGTCTTTCATCGGCGGTGTAGAAATCCTCATCTTTGTCTGCTCTGAACCTCTCCCTTGTCTTGCGCCTTTCTACCTGGGTCAGTCAAAATGCTCCCAATCGAGGCGAACCGGCACGTCAATTATTCCTTTTAGAACCAGCGCCTCAAGGCCCAGACCTTAGCTTCTTTGCAACCCGATATCGACCGGATTAAGTTCAGTTCGCCGAGCGACCAGTTGCCCGGCTAAAGGCGGTGGAATGTTGTTCCCCTCTCTACTCGAAGGAGCCGTGTCATCGCGCGAGCGAAATCTTACAGAATGCCTTGCGGCGGATCACGCCGGGAAACGTGTCCAGCGTTGTCGGGCTCAACGATGACGACCTTGCAGCTCCCACGCCTACATCACTGCCGGTAGAGCAATAGCACCCTTGTCCAGATCTTGGCGGATTGGGCACCGGTGCTGACCGTGCGTGGGCTTAACCGGATAAACGGATGTCTCACACCCAAGATCGCATCGAGGTGGCTCGCCGCAAATCTCCTCCAGTCCGAATATAGTCCAGAGTTTACACTCGATGTATATACGATACGATACGATACGATACGATACGATAGCTACAGCAGAAGCACAATCAGCACGGCAGATAACAAGGCGAGAACCGGCTTCGAATACAACACAGCAGCCTCGTTTGGAAGGCTTCCCGACATCCCGCTTGGAGCCGTCTTCGAGCCAGAGTTCGAGCTTGAGGACGAGGATACGGCCAACGGCTGATCCCACAGGAAATCCGCATCGTCTGTGTACGGGAACCCGGTGCTCTTCAAAAACCCGACGTATTTGCCTGTCGGATCACCGTAAACGGACGCGACGGCAGCAATGTTCGGGTAGAGCTCTGCGGTGACGTTGTTCTCGTTCGTCGCGTTGGGGTTCGTTGTCATTAGAAAATT